CATACTCTGACGAATACAGCTCTATAGCTATTGAGGCAGCAAAACATATCGGCCAACAAGTCAACGTGATTGATTATCAGAGAATTCAGTCTGACAAATTTGAACTTCCAAACCAAGGTGAAAAATTACACAGGAGGGTAACCGAGCGGTTGAGCAATTTTTTTAGTTGTCGTGATGATAGTGAGCGTAGAAGCCAGAGACCAATTGTTAAAGTACCTAATGGCTAAAAGAAAAGCACTTTTGGATACGCAATTCATCATATACTCCGACGGAAGGTAAGGAAAGAAAACAAATTCAATGATTTTCTGAGTCAGTGATCAGAGAAAACTTCTTTTTGTGTCTGGCGGCGAGCAGCCCAAAAGTACAATCTACAAGGCGATAATGAAAAACGCTACAAAATGCGAAAGGAGCACCCATTCCACTTTTAAGTGACAGTCTTGCCCTTTGAGTTCATCAAGTACAAAGACAGGACTACAGATTGTTCTGTAAAAAGCTCTGTTTCTTCAAATGTTGAGGTACTCCTCCGGTTGTCAGTATGCCAATTCTACAATCATCCTTTTTGGAACAAAATATTCTTCGCTTAAAAAGTCGTGTTGTTGAAAAGTGGTGTTGAAAAGTCAAAATTAGTCTCCTGAGCTCCTCACGTTTTACGAATTTTTGGATATCAACAAAACGAAATTTTAAAAATTGAAAAAAAACGTGGTCTACGCAGTGCGTAGCTGACACAAGCTATCGTTCATGTTCGCTACCCCCTGAGGTTGTATAACTTATGATTGTAACTTAAGTAGAATGTAGCCAAGTGCGTGGTTAATTTATCTATCAGAATTGAGAGAACGAACATTAATGTACTGCTCTGTAAGCCTTTGATGTCTTTAGGAATGATAAAGCTTTGCAAATAAGACATGCTCACCTTGACCTGCGCTGAAAATAGCACGTTGTTATCTAAACCGACTCATCATTTTCGAAGTTTCCATCGTTTCTATGATGAAATCTAAGCAGTGTGCACATCTTGGGTTATAGTCAGTCGTGCAGTGTAAATACTTTCTAAAAAAAATTGTCACAGTCTAAGAACTGCAAAGAAAATACACAATCGCTTGCACTCGTCAAACTGACATAAATAAACCCAGAGGCCAAAATGTGATGGAATTCTAACTGTTCTGGAACTTTGTATAAATTTGTTAAGCTGTTTACTTCCAGCACTGATGCCAAAACATTCTATGCACAGCTAGAGGATTTGATGAAAAGCGCTTCGGATGTGGAGAAACAATTGATCATGGCAAATTTTATCCTGGTTAGTCCAAGTTTATTTGCCCTCAGGCAAATAAACGAGAGCTTCCTGATAATGTTATTACTCATTTCAGCTCCAATCGCTGCATACTCCAAAAAGCGAAGATTTGCCCCTTAGTCAAAACTTTAGTGTGAGTTGCTTGTTATTTCTACAGGAATATTTTGTTGGAACTCTTCATCTTCTGCCAAAATTTCGAACCATCACACATAATTCCTGCTGAAATGAATTGAAATTCAGTCCTCTCAGGCAACCAAAGCCATACAAGCATCGTGGTTACTATGCGATGCGATAAGCTTATTAGAAGAAACTGATGGTAACATCCCGCATCTCAACCAGTTTCTGGGGCGTAAACTAGCAGGTGATTTACTATACTACATTTGTAAGGATGCTGAACCATATTTGTTTTAGGACTTTCTGGACCAGTATTCTTTCTCAGTGATGGAACGCGTTTGCCATATTTTGATGTTTTTACCTGGGAATACGACCATATGCTCAATGCTGCATCGTTAAAACCATCAGCTATTCCATGCAATGAGAGTGAATCCCAACCGTGCATTTCTTATGTAGGCTGACTTTTTTACTGCAGCCCCTGCCTCCGCCTCCCTGTCTTCTTTTTCCTTCTTCATAATGTCTTTAGGTTTACAATGTATCAAACTCAAGCGTATTGGACTACCTAAGTTCGAATAGAGGTGAATGTGAAGGACTCGCATGTTTTACAACCATCCTTGCAGTACTGACTGCGGCACTTATTTTTGTGGCAATTGGTATACCTTTACTGGCAATCTTAAGATTCCAAAGGTTGTACTTTCTATGCATTATCCTTCTCCTCTGAAAATCTTTGCTGAATCAAAATATAATTCTAGAAAAGAAAAAGAAATGAATCGAATGAGTTGGAGAATCGCATACCAGAACGTTATGCAACGCAAACGAGAAGTGAGTATATTTGTAGATTTTTGTGTGGATTCTTCCTACAACTTTGTGTTGATATCCTGGATACA